AGTTGAATAAGCATTTAGATGCAAAGGATGGAGATTGTACACAGATGGAGTGTCCATACAGAGAGTACGGATGTGACCATCCTGTAAGTTTAATTGTTAGTGTAATTTGTAAGTTAAACAAGAATCAAGTTTATCTTGGGGCATGATGGGTTTGAATATTGCAAAAAGTAATAAAGCCATAACAGCCAATGAGTACTTGTACCTGCAAGTAAAATATCAAAGGAACTAATGAGAACTCAAAGTGATTAAATGTAAAATGGTGTAAAAATAGTCAGTGCTCCTATAGCAACCATTCTTTGGGATGTCAAAAAAAAAACTCAACAACTGATTTGTAGAGTTAAGCGAGGGAAAGTTCCCTTGACTAATCTCTTACTGTAGTGATGTTCAATTGTTTCAATTGATGGGTTAATTTTTTTTTACTCCCATACAAATTCTTGAAATTTTTGACTGTGCTTTAACCTGGAAAATGAAATCTTTAACTATCAACGCAAGATTAAATTTCAAAGAAATTTTCTCTTTCTTCAATTCTCTCCTTTTTTTTCCGATGGCGAAAGTAACACCGGATTGGACCAGTGTTGCCTTAAGGTTACCCTCTTCACCAATCAAATAAAAATTTGAAACTTATTACGACTTGGTTATCGCTCTTTAAATCACTCTGGTTTTTGATTTTTTGAGTTCTCAACTTTTGTTGTGATTGACTGTTGTGGTTTGGTCTTACAAGTTAGATTGGCTATACATACGAAGTGAAAAGGTACTCTTTATTATTTTCAAAGACTACTCTTTCGTAAAGAATTTATCTTTTAAAAGCCGCATTTTTCTTGGTTTGTGCATCTGGAAGAAACAAAATTAGTTAGCTAACAAAAGTTGCCAACAACATTAGGAAAGCTTGGTGAAAGGGAATTTCCCTTTACAATCTCTTTTACAAGAGGATTTCTTCACATAAATTAGACTTAAAAAAAACTTTTTCTTGGTAAAATTTTCATTAAAAGTTCTCCGAGTTCAAAATTGGCATGTCAACTTTTGGACAAGAGAACTGATTGAGGGAAAACTTGTCATTTGCACCGCCGTAAAAATTCGGCTTAACAAATGTTATAATAATGTTCGGATATAGCAAGCGCTATCATTTTTTGAAAGATCCATTTCTAGGTTTACTACGTACATAAGAAAAGCTTTTCTTATGTACGTAGTAAACCTTGAAGTGGATAACTCACCAAAATGGGTTCTTTTCAACATAGTAAGCGGTCAGATAGTAAGCGATGCGCTGTGAAGTAAGGTGGGGTATTTTAATTGAGAATTTGAATGTATTTTTTATTCCTTAGAGCGGTCGTAAATATTCCCATACAAATTCTCATAATTTTGCATGACTCTTATTTCGCAAGATGATCATCTCACAGCTGGAGCTTGGGCCATCTGTGGTCCATCGCTGCTAGCTCATCATGGCGATCTCCGGTCATCGCAGTGAAGCAAGCCTCAGAAAATACATCGGCCGCCCTTCGAGTGAAAAAATAAGAGCTTCCTCTGATATCCTTCCTGATGCGTTGAGTGGAAGGCCGCATCGGTCACTGCAGCCGAGTTTTACGGCGCTGTCATCACGAGCGATCTTCATGTTCTGGTGAATTCGGCTTTCGTTCATTCATAAAACAGTCGCCTTCCGCAGTTTGTGTTCCTCTTGTCATATGGAAAAAATGCGTGTTTTTACGAGCACAATTCGGCTGAAGATCATTGAACATTTCACTTTCAGATTCTGTATTAGAGACTAAAAAAACTTTAGGCAAAAGTATTAAATTCGACCTGCCGAACTAAGTTTGTAAACTATCGCAGAAGGTGAACTTTGATGGTTTTGACATTTTTGACAGCTTTAGTCTTGTACAGCCTATCAGATTATTTGAACCGTTCCAACAGGGATTCTGATTGGCTTATTGTAGCGTGCTTATGAGAGTATATAGCGAGCTGACGACACTGTCGTCCGCTTTGGAAATAAAGTTCGTTTTGAAAATTGAAAGTAATGCTTGGGGAATTTAACGGATTCTCTATTATAAAACAAACGAAGAAGCCTTGACTGTGCTCTGTTTTGTTGTAAAGCACTTACGAAGCAGCTAGATTCTCGTGTTTCCCCCTACACTACTTTCGTGCTCTAACCGCTTGCTGCGTGCTTTCTAACAGAACAGAGGGCAGTCAAAGCTTCTCGATTTGTTAATTAGGGCAACTTGAAAATATTTTTGACTAGCTCTGTTTATTTCTCCTTTAATCAACTCAGGAGAGGATGAATTCCGTAGAGCTCAAGACTCATCTAGACGCCTGTGTTGTAACACATCAGTTGATTTTCTTGAGACAGCACAAAAGATCAAGCACTAATCAACATCCATGCGATGTTGCCGACACTGAGGCCGAGTTAGGGGCCTTGAAACGAAGTTTTATCTCAGCTGAAACATGTCTTTTAAGACACGATTGGGCGCTCAGTGACCACTACCAACTTATTACGCACTTGAGAAAAGATGTGGAGGAATTGAAAGATCTCAGGTTAAAGAAAGATGGTCAGTGATTCTTTGGGTTAGATGTTGTCAGTTTTCTTGTTCTTGACCACACGGTTACATAACTTAACATCTAATTTAAGGTACAATTAGGTAAAGGAACATACTGAATACATGTAAAAGTAGTTTAAGTTTTTATTTTGGTTGTTAGTTCCACACTTTTGGTTAGTAATTAGACGTATATATTTTTTTATTGTGATGCAGAGAATCATAGTTACATGAAGTAAAGCTTGAGTGACTTGAGTGAAATGGATAGAATTAGCAAACGGTGCGATAGTAGCATAGGAGTATAAAAGGGAAGGGAACTTAGGTCGACTGAGGAACCAGACCCAAACCTCTCTCGGTTTTCCACTCTTCCCCAACTATAGCGCTGTTTGCTATTGCGCTCCGTTCTACTAACTAATGCTTGGCACAGGCTAAGAAAATAGTTTAAAGTGTTTATAGCTTTTTAGAGGGCCAGTTCTCGGTAGATTTGTACATAATCTCGTACAGTCACGTTAGGATATTTGTAGTACATTTATTTTAAACATATTTTATTTTCCGTATGTTTGTTTGTGGAAAAATGTGGTCAGGCGCATGAAAATCTAATAAAACTGTTTGTAGTAAAGCTATTAAAATAGTCCTTTAGATGTTCATGTTTGCCGTATTATAACAGTGAAATGTCTAGACTTCGCTCTTTTTAGGCAAGGGGTGAAAATATTGTTATTGTATTATTCAGTTATTATTATTATTATTATTATTATTATTATTATCAGTATTATATTTCATTCATATTCACAACTAAGCGCGTCGAATGTGAAGATATATGCTTTGTCTTTTAATTGCATTGCTTTTCATATTTTTTTCAAAGAGCCCCTTTCCCCCACTTTTTTTCCCATATATGGCTTAAATTATGATCAGGGATTGCTCTGATTGATCAAAGTTTTGAATCGGGAAGATGTAACAACTTTTAAGGTTAGTTTTTGTTTTTGTGAGATGGACGAGAATGTTCAATGAATAAGAAGATCAGGACGAATTTCAGCGACGCCAAACCTGCGAAATGTATGCGAAATTGCTCATAAGAGGCGCAAAAAGTTTTGTTCATCATACAAACTGTGAACTGCAGGGTATTCACGGTCACAAACATGGATGCATGGTTATCATCAAATTAGAATTTTTAAAGATGCTACGATTATCACTTGAGAAAGGCGCAGTAAGAGTTTGCTGACGGGGTTTTGATCTTGAAATTTTGGTGTTGTCACGGGCAACCTTCCTCATTTACAGAGGTAACCGAATTTCAAGAGCCGCGCGTCGCCAACCACCAAAGTGAAAGCCCGCCAAAAGAGCTCAAACGAATGGAAATGGAACTAGTTTCCCGCCTGTGAAAACAACACAGTTTGCTGATCTTCTGTCGCCTCTCACTCAATTAAGAATCGTATTATTTTGGTTTGTATTAAGGTTAGAGGGATTTTCATACTTGTAACAAGTCGTAGTTATGACAACTTATGTTTAAGAGATGATATCTCTAAAATTAGGAAATGACCAGTCATGTTTCACTATTTAACAGCTTAACGCTACCAGATATTTTGGAAGTACATTACAGAGGCTCATCGGTTTCCTGGATTGTTGGCATCTTTAGTTTAACGGATTAAAACTTTTTATTTGTTGCTTCAACAAAGTGGACTTGATGAGCACGTTGCTATAGCAACAAATAAGCTCAAGCTTCTTAAACCTTATGTGCCTGTAAACTTTGTAAACAAGTCCTATGACCCCCGAATCGGCAAATTGCAATACCTAAGCATATTTACATTATTTTACTCAAGAAAACGAACAATAATAGGGTATTGCTGATAACATGAACGCAAATCAGTTGAGTTTAAAAAATTGCGAAACCGTTTTGAGCCTTAAATGATAACATCGCGAGAGATTATAAAGTATTAGTTATTGTTTTGCTGGGCATTAAATGTGTTATTAGTTTTGTGTATTAAGTGTTGTTTGATGACACTAGGATTATCACTTTTAGAGTGAGGATCTGAGAGATTGAATACCACGAGGCTGCTGTCATTGCTTTTTTGTATTCTTTGATTACCTGAATTGTAAAGATTCACCAAAAAGGACACTGCTGGTGTTAAGTAACGTAGTATTTTGGCAAATTTAAAACATTAACAGAACTCTGGGTTACTGAGTTCCAATTCTTGGATCTTTTTAAAAAAGAAATACGGGGTTATGTCATTCTCAGCGAATGCGGTTTACTTGAATCTTTGACCATAACGAGATCATGACTATTTGCTATTTTTTCCATATTTTACCCAATGTACGAATCTGTACTGTAAGAATATTTAAATAATACAGGAGTGGTAATGTTACCCAGGAAAAGGCTTCTATTCGCTTAACAGCAGCTGCCGCTAACGTACAAAACTAGTTTTCGTCGTCGACTCCGATCTCAAGAGGTTGCTTCTCATGCCAGGAAAATTTGAATTTGTGTAATACCTATAATCATACTTGATGTAGATTTTTTTTCTCGATTCTTTTGGAATTTTCTGTAGAAAGATATTAGTTCATTTCAATTTGCGCATGGTCTCACTTATTCTTTATCCTAAGTTTTCGGGCTCCGACTGGTTGCCTAGATAACATTTGCATATCCCAAGATGGATTGCGGTTTCGGTGCATGACCATAAAAGAATTGCCCATTGTAAAGCCCCAATTATTCTCCTTGCGTATCAGAACGTTGTGTTATGTCTATTCCTAACTGCTTTGAAGGAAAAAGGAAACATTTTAAATTAAATGACGCTAGAAGGTAAGTAGTGATTTATGTAACTACGACTTGCTAGGCAACATTACTGAGTTTGTAAAAGGAGAGATTTTATTTAAATTTAAGCGAGAGAGTGGGAGATTAGAAACTGAGCTTTATTAGGGGCAAAACTCTCGAGTACAGAGCGGATATAAAAAGAAAAGTAGATTGAGAGAGGAAAAACCAGTCGATTCTATGGTGAGGGAATGCTGGCCAGCTATCTAGGTGGAAAGGAAAAATGACGAATTCGAATTTTTAAGTATTTCAGTAGGAATAGAAAATAAAAATTCAGATGTAATCTACTTTAAGCGTGGGCTCGAAGCCAAAGCGAACAATGTTCACACCTTTAAAAGACTTGTTTATATTTGCGTCTTCAAGAGGTGTCTTTATGTTTAGCTAGTCATATTTCAATTCGGTCAATTTCTATAATTTTTTTTTCGAGAAAATTTCAGGGTAAAAATCTTGAAATTAAACAATGTGTACATGAAAAAGTTAAATGTGGATTGTCGTAGCATGATTTCATGAAGTAGATTTGTAGACTTAAAATTGGCACTATTATATTATAGATATCCTGGTGTCGAATATTTATCACTGTCCGTAATGACACTTTGGTTACGCCACCTAGGTGGTAAGAGAGCTTTTCCGTTTTCCTTCTAGAAGGTGACCTGGAATTATTTTAAATCTAACAATGCTTAGAAACGAAAATAATTTATGCTTTTATTTAAGATTTCTTGATAGTTTTAGAAATTGTACTCAATAAATGGCTCGTTCTAAAAAAACTGAGTGGTCATAATCTTACTTCGGTTTTAGAGTAATTTGTAGGCGGAAAAAATTGCAAAATGCAAAATTTGAGCGTAAGCTAATGACAAGTAGTCAAATGAATTAAATTTGGCCAAAACTGAGTTGACACCTTTCTTGAACACAGCATTTCGGCTTCTCTTTGCCAATTATTATTCAGTTTCTTGAACATTTTTAGTAGGTCATCATTAACAAATACACTTGGTTTCTACGTAATCATGTAAAACATTAAACATTGAAACAGGTGCACGTCCAAATCTTCATTTAAAGGAAGATTCAAAAAGTACTCTAAGCTTTACATTTCCGATCAACGGGTCCTTTTTTTTTTGTTCGGATATTTGCATTGAAGAGCTACAATAGAAATTAGGGCCTTTTGAAATTATGAGAGTACATCTGCAACCATGAACTGACAAAAGAAACGCGCTGTGGGTTAGTTGTATTATACTGAAAATTAGTCGCGTAGCAATCGTTTGTTCATATCAAGTAAGGTTCTCGTAATCGAGTTAAGTTAGAGGAATTTGTTACACGCTATTTCGAGTATTCTTTGAGTGTTCCTTGTCAAGAGTGTAAAGCAACAATTTTCATTTGGTAAGACAAAACACGAAAAACACACAAATGATAACTTAAAAATAAGTTTTCTTTCATTTTCCTTCCAAAAATCCTTTGATTTTGCACAATTTTAGGAATAAAAAACATAAATGAAACAAACAAAAATCCTCCCAGATATGGAAGGAACAAATCAAAGACGCTGTCATTTAGTGCGGTACATTTAAGTGGACACCAAGGGCCGGTTATTTAAATGAGGTCTAACCCCAACCGCGGCTTTTACTTCGCAAGCAGTTGGCGTCAGGGATTCTCTATAGGAGGGTCGATTTAATTAAAAAATGCCCATCTTCTATCAGCTTTCGGACGTCTTGGCGTACACTGTTCCCAAAAAAGAAAGATCCATATGAAAGGTTTGGCTAAATCGAAGGTGGTTTAGAACGCGGTTTCGTTAACTAACGATTAAACTTTGTTTAAACAATCAAACCCACATGTCGAGAGTTCTGTGAATCCTCTCAATAATCGATCAGAAGAGGCTTTCCCTCTTTCCTATGGGAGAAAGTCGTGCAATTAAAAAGTAATGAGCTATCCTCCTCGCTTGAACTCTGGAAAGGAGGGGGAAAGAATGTTTTCATAGTCTAGCGCGGCGGTGATTAATTTTATTTACGCTCATTACTTTTGCTTCCCGTGATGGACTGAGCTGAGAAAGGTGGAGTGAACGTAGTTAGCCACAAACAGAACTTTCCCAATTCCCTTGTTTAGCGGCTATATTGCATTGGTGAAACAAAGGAACTGATTTTCAGTATGGCTGATGTGGCATCAGTTGAAAACATCGGTGCGACCTATTCAGACAGCGATGTTAAACTTGGGCTCACTTCATTATCAGCGGCTCAAAAAGCGGTCTAACCAGCGAAGTTGAGTGATAGTTTAGCAGGCTTCCAACACAAAACTCTCTCCTGATGAACTGGATCAGGCCCCGGTTGTTCGAGGGTTGGATAACGCTATCCACTGGATAATTCTTTATACGGTGGTTAACGCTGTAGGTTTTGCTATCACTTATTCACACGATAGTAATTTACCCATTGGATAGTGTTATCCGACCTCTATACCAGTGGGCTTGGGACTACAGCTCTTATCTCACCCAGGCTCTTACTATTACCTATGATTAACTATTCATGATATGTCTTTTTTTCTTGCAGTGTTAGTTATGAATACAAAAAAAATTGATAATATGAATTTGAAATTACCAGTATCTTCTAATCTTGAGATTAGCAGCAGTATTTAAAAGACCCGGAGAATGGTTGTGTATATAGGTAGTAATGATAACGATGGAAATGAAATAAGTTTGACAGCTAAAAAGCAACAATGAGAGTAATCAGAGAGCTTACGTACGCGTTCAGTGTACCGAGAAATTAGCCTAAGAACGTGATGCTAACTACATTATGAATAATTTTTTAATTTGACCAGAGCGAGAACTGAGATCAGGGAATAGACTTTTTCCACTAAACCTAAGTACAACGAAAAAAATGAAAATTGTTAAGATTAACCAGGGTAAATGAAGCTGTTTCTACATTTCAGATATATTATTCAAAATCATTTCATATTTCCACTAGCTAGCAATTAGAATAGTCACGTATCACGGCTACCTAAACAGGAAACTAGCGACAATATTTGTTATTTCTCTGATACATATAGTTCAGTAAGGAAATATTATCAGGATCTGGGAAAATTTTAAACAAGCTAAAGTGTTGTACACGTCGAGTTGCTCAAATTGTTGAATATTCGTTTCACTCTTTGAAGTGTGGTATCATGTATATTCAGTGATATTGAATGATACTTGAATATGATTGCTAATTTTGACAATGTATTTACGCAAAAAATTTCAATTAAGTCATGTTAGTACTGAATAATTTTTTTCGGTTTTGGTCGGTGAGGTTATGACTCGTGTTATCGTTTCTTGCAATGTGAAAACAGGTTAGGTGGCAGCAAAATACCGCTCTACTCCCATGTTAGTAGAGGTTAAATTCCTGTTTTGCATTTTGTTTTTGCAAAGCCGCTTGATATGATGATTGGGTCTATTCAAATAAGGACGAAAAGTTATTAATTCTGCGTGCTCGAAAATTGTGACATCTAGAAAGTCAGTTTAATCAAGAGGGGAACTCAGTTTTAAATTTAGTTAAAGTAGTGTTGTTTTTGTTCAAGGCTCTTTCTTTTATTCCGGCAGTTTTAGAGTTGGACGTTTTACACGTTAGCGGAAGAAAGAAAACTTTAACCATAACATTCCTCAAGGCTCCCTCATCATCAAGCTAATAACATCTGCCTTTAGAAAATGGAAAACGAGACAGTTCACTGCTCGTTCATCATTGATAGCCCTCTTAGGAGACTCCGTATGTTTCCTACGAACGTGGCGATGTTGGTGTTGAATGGTGTATTCTGCTTAACAGCCACGGTACAAAACATGCCCGTTATCGCTGCCATTGTCAAGACACCGTCTCTTCACACTCCTTCAAACGTGCTCCTATGTTCGTTGGCTTTAACTGATTTAACAGTAGGCTGCGTTGTTCATCCTGTTTTCGTAGCTTTTAAAGCACGACTTCTGCTGGGCGAGTTCTGGTGCCTCTTGTTGCTTGTCAAAGAAGGCTTGCTCATATACACCGGAATTCTTTCCATGTTGATTTTGCTTGCAATAAGTTTGGAACGCTTGATCGCTCTCCGTTTGCATTTGCGATATGGAGTCCTCATCACTATTCCTCGTGTGTTGGCTGTGGTCATTGTGACTTTGTTGTCATGGGGTCTTGTTGTATGCACTTGGCCATTAGGTGTTAGCATCAACGTTGTTTCCTCAATTAGCGTCGCCATCATGGTGGTGGTCGCCGTTGCATTGGTCGCAGTTTGCGCCGAAATTTTTCGCATTTTACGGAGACATCAGATGGTGATTTGGAATCAAAATAAACTACAAGCTGAAATGTTCAGGTCAGCCTCACGAAGAAGGAAATCTGCAGCCGCGATTTTGTATGTTGTCGTTTTGTTTTTTGTCTTTTATTCCCTGAGCGCTTTTGCTACTATTCGTTTCATCTTTACTCAAGATTTCAACATATCCCAAAACATTTTGTGGGACATTGCAGAGACCTTGGCTCTCATGAACGCGAGTGTCAATCCCATTTTGTATTACTGGAAGATGGGGAACATTCGCCGCGCAGTGCGAAGCTTGTTCTGTGCCTCAAATCAAACTCATTTGGCAGCAAACAAAAGAACTGACTACTCAACAACTTTTAAGACCTTTAGGTTTTAATACCGACATGAAACAGTTTATACTAATCATACAGATCAAGTTCTTCTCTAGAAATAAAAAATTGTGTCAAAAACCTCTAGGAAGTGGTCATATTCCTACAACTCTATAAAGTTGTTTGTGGGGAAACAATGCATGTCTCAGCAGATGGTCAATTCACACCAAAATGATACTTGCAATAAAGCCTACCCCTCAGTGTTTGCCCTCAGTGTTTTAAGGTTTGAAGAACACTTATTATGCATTTCTCTATCAAGCATGTTTGAGTGAGAATATTACAGTTCCCCGTCGTAATCAGGTGGATATCCCCAATAACTATGGCCGAAATGTTAAAAATTACTTTACTGTGTTACTGTCATCATCATGAACTAAACTAATTAATTTCAAAAGCATCAAAACATCAAGATGCTTAGTGCTCCATAACAAATAAACAATTGTTAAAATTAACTCCTGTGAAATAAACGAAACATATTTCACGTCAGTGGTCACAAACGATGCTTGAGGCAGTTAAGGAAAATCTCCATCCGCTTCAGGTTCAGTTCAAAGTTTCCAGTGCTCTATAAGTCTCACAGCTAACATTGTCATTTCCAACAATAACATTTGTTGAGGTAAGTTCCAGTCGTTCCGCAGCTGTAAGCGTCCATACCTGGGGCAAATTGTGCTGAGATCGTCGCAAAAAAGAGCACTGAAGCTTCTCAACATAAACTTTAATCTCTTTTCGGAATTTTGGATGTCTGAATGCACACAGGCAAGGGTTTAAGCAAGAATTGAAGCTGATAAACACAACTGGAGCCCAGGAGAGCATGATAAAATAAGTTTTAAGGCTTCGTAAAGTGCTTATACTGAAAGCTTTGAAGAGTTGTTCAGACCTGTACACAAACAGTAAAGTGCATACCATTGGTGATATGAAGAATATGAAGTTTGTAAAAACCATTATTGAAATGTTCTTAGCCAAGGTAGCCTTTCGCTTTACACCGGCACTCATGCCTGCTTTTCTAACATGGAGAAAGATGTGAAAGTATAAAGCAATGCTAATGACATAAAACAAAACAAGCAGGGCTGCAACAGCGAGGCCAGCCTCTGACGTGTCCTGTTGATCAGGCCCGTTCACAAATGGCATCATGCATGTGAATTCGCCATGATATCTCAAACCACCAACTTGGAAAACCGGCAGAAGCGAGTAGGCGATCGCAGCACACCATATTCCCGTCACACACTTAAGTGCAGTGGTCTTTCTCAACCTTACTCCCGGATTCATGCAATGCACTATCGATAAATAACGCTCCACCGTTGCCAAAAGAGAGCTTGAAACTGAGACTATTTGAGCCGTCGTGAAAATAACTCCCATTATGGTACAGTAATCATTAACAAATACGTCCATCCTAGGGTAGTTGCCCGCGTTAACTATAAATTCATATACGGTGTATCTGGCTATTAAGACTGAGTAAACACCCATAAAGATGTCACAAACACTGATATTTCCTAGCAAAATGAAGGAAGTGCTAGTGCGAAGCGAACGGCATCCGAACGAAATAAACATGACGACAAGGTTTAAGATTATTGCAATGGCACCTAGAATGTACTCAGTGTAAAATAACTTTCTTGGTAACGTGTTGAGTGTGAGCTCATAAGGCAAGTAAATTTCTTCCGCGACGCAATTGTCTGACTCACATAAGCATTTTGGTGAAAACCCTCGTTTTACGAAGAGAAGTGACCTTCCATATTCAATCTCTTCCGAAAAAACATACTCCTCTGATGTCACTATGCACGCCAGGTCACTTTCATTTGAGCTGACAAGTATTTTAGTGTTAATCAATGTGCAGTTAGCGCAATTAATATTCCACGTGATCCCTCTAATTTCTTTAAGGTTGTGAACTTCAAAAAGATTCTTTTCTGGGAAGTATAAATGGTTTCCTGTGAATTCTACTGTCTGTAGGGAGGGAAGGGTGTTAGCGATATCTCCTCTCCATTCGCGGAGGTCATTAAAGGACAAGTCTCTGAAAAAGAGGCAGTGGTATAGTTGTCATTACGTTAAAAGTTTTTTTTAACATTGGTTCCCACTACATCAGAACTTTAACTTTTAATAGCTACTGTTGGTCCTGAATTTAATCCCACTTTTCTATTAACTGCTACTGACGTATTCATTTATTGGGTCCAATCAAGAACAGTTTCGATCTTTCTCACTTCAGAGCATGCTAAAAACTCCAGAGGCTTTATTGTGCCAAATTTGTAATGAAGAGTAATCTGTGTACAATCTGCGTTCAGTTTCATCATTAACCTATTCCGGAGTCCACCAACGAAATTACTTGTTCTATCTCTAGGGTTCTTTCTTCCACGAGAACGCTTATTTGCGAGCCGATTTCTTCTGAAACGAACATTCAATTTTCGCAGTTATGTATTTGTATGAAACTGCTGTTAAGAACCCAAACATTTTGATGATATCCCTTCCATTTCTAAACTTGGATGATGAATCTGAGCATATATTTCTGACCGTCTCACCAGGCTAAAATATTACTCGCGAATTCTCGAACACTAGGTGAAATTGAATGATATCAGAAATAATTTAACGAAAACTCACAAGCGTAGAAGATTTGGCATAATTGGAAAAGTTCCTTCTTCAATGACACCAATATTATTTCCTAAAAGAATCCTGTGAAAGCAAATGTGGTCAATATCAAGCAGTGCTAACTTCAGTCATAATATCAAAAAATGATACTCCTCGGAAAATTCGGACCTGAAAGTTTATGTAGTATTTGTAGACGTAGTAGTAGTAGTAGCAGTAGCAGTTGTAGCTGTAGCGATACAAGTCGTAGTGATAGCGGCAGCAGCAGCAGCAGCAGCAGTAGTAGTAGTAGCAGCATTAGTAATATAAGTCTTTGTTCACCAAGAAAAACGTGCAAAGTTTACAAAAGTGTAAATAATAAAACAAGAACAACAGCGGCAATCTGTATAAACAACTACTCACCAAAGAGCACTCAAAGAGCACTCAAAGAGCACTCTTCCCTGTTCCCTTGTTTAATTTTAAAATACTTACAAAGAGGAGATACTTTTACTTCTGTTCAGTACACAGGACGGAACTTCAACCAAATTGTTTTTGGATAAATCTCTGAAATCAAAATATGAAATAGACGCTGTTTAAATATAATGTTGATTTACCACTTTCGATCTTGTTTGGCTTCATGTAAGATTATCACAGAATTTTCGCGCTAAGCAACGCGGCTG